TATTATAATTCTGAAGATGAACAATATTTAACAACTGTACAAAAAAGAATATTGGAGATTTTTAGTAACAGTTAAGTGCATATACATAAAAGCCTATTTTCTTTACTTCACTGGAGATTTTTTTTTTATATAAAACTGATTGTAAAAAAACAATTTTAATTCTTCTATAAAGTGTTTTAAATGTAGGAACAAAGGCATTGCCAAGAATCCAAACCACCATTCATGAACATCCACATAACCGACCTTAAAACGCGGTCTGTTTGATCCATTGGAGATAGAACAGTTGCCGGATATTGACGTAGACGCCGGCGTAATCCCGGAGGCCACAGCCGAAGCCCTGGGAGATGACCCCCGCCAGTGTGTAACGTTTACAGCTTAAGTTCACAGCCGGGCCGCCAGAGTCACCCTGAGGATATGAGAGAGGTAGGGTCGAGTGAAGTGACTAGCCTTATCTTTTCTCCCCCTCCCTGTCTTAAGGAGAGGAGAAGCTCTCTCTTTATTTTGCTCGAATTCAATCATCAAATAAAGTAAGAAGCCATTCGAGGTTGAAGTTTCCGATACACTGATATATTGCAAAGGAAATGGTTTTGTGTTTCGAGTATCTGTGTGATGGTATCTGTGTTCACGACGAAATTCTCAAAGAATCACTTGTATTTGGGGCAAGAAAAAAAAATAAAAAGTAAAAAAAATATCCAATTATTAAACTAATTATAATAAAAGTCCTGCTGGAACTGTACCTGACAAGCGTCTTTGCCCCCTTCAGTAGTGCCAGCACACATGGTCTCTTCGCCGATTCCATAAGGCCAAATTCTATTGAAGGACACCAGTTTCTTGTACTGTGCATGGCAGGTGGACGAAGGGAACACCTTCACCTGAAATTCCTGCAGCGCCGGACTCTTGTGGCCGCCTGCATCACGTTAGAACGGGAATTTGTGTTATGAAGTGCACTACATGAAATCGTAAGTAGGAAGAGATGAAGAATATTGTATATTGTGTCTAACATTGGGTTATACACACACACAAATTGGGATTTTTGCCTAACTATCCTCCTACACACATGGGGCACCTACTGTAAAGCTGCCTAAGTCACTGAAATTACTCATAACAAGAATATTAAACAAAATGCATTTGGCCTATGTCAACAATAAAGGGCAGTTATTGAATAAATTAAGGTGTTTTTTTTTTTTGCTCTCTTCAAAATTTGCAAAAAATGAGATAGGCAACTATCTATATATGTATATATGTATACACACTATGTGTGTGTATAAATATATACATATATGTATGCATATATATATATAACATAAAATGGAAGTATGGAAAGAGGCACTGACCTGGCTCAGTCCTTCCCCAGCCTGTGACAGTGACTTCACTGTTCACCAGGAAAGAGGGGTTTCTCTGGTTCCACGGAAGGCACACAGGCCGGATGAAGTCCTGTCGGGGGATACGAGTTACAAAATGTTTCCTCTCTCCCCTATACTTAGTGTAGCAACAATTACCCTCATTAGCGACAAGGTCCATATCACTACTTTTCTATTACCTTTATCTGAACCTTCTTGCTAAGTTTGATGAGTGCGAGGTCGTGATAAGCTTGTTTTGGGACGTAGTGCGGATAGACGACTATTTGGCCGATTCCGTAGTCCTCGTGTTCGGTGTCGCTCGGGTCGTCGTAGTCGTGTTCTCCGAGTCGTATGGTGCTTGGTGTTCTGTTAACGATGATAATGATGATGATGATGATGATAATGATGATGATGATGATAGGAATAGTTATGATGATGATAATGATAGTGATAATGATGGTGATGATATTGATAATGGTGATGATAGTAATAAGAATGATGATAATGGTAATAGTAATAGTTACGATAATGATGCTCATGATCATGGTGGTGATGACATTGATAATAATGATGAGTAATAATAATGATGATAACGATAATAATGATGGTAATGATGGTAATTATGACAATGATAATAAAGATATTAATGATAATGATAATGATTATGATGATGATTATTGTTTTTATCATTGGTGTTATTATTATTATTGTTTTTATCATTGGTGTTATTATTATTGTCATTAATATTATCATTATTATTTTTATCAATAATCATTATTCTTATAAATGTTGATGACACTATCATTATCATCATCATTATTGATGTCATTATCATTTTTATCTGTATCACTATTATTACTATTATTATTATTATCGTTATCATTATCATCATCATCCTTATGATAATCATTTCCTTTATTAACAATATTTTAACCATACTGTTATTAATATTATTATTACTATCATTAATAATAATAGTAATAATAAAGATAATAATGATGATAATAATAACCCTAATAATTATAATACTTATCATTATCATTATTATTATCATCACCACCATCATCCACCATCACCATAGTATCACCATCTTATTATACTATTATCATTATCATGACTGTTATTATTACTATTATTATCGTCTTCATCATCGTCATCATCACCATCATCACCATCAGCAAGTCATAATCATCATCACAGTCCTTCTTGTCATTATATCACTATGACCATCATCCTCACTATCATCATAATGATAATTTTCACAAACTTAAGAAAAACACAATCGTACAAGAGACCGACCGGGATTTCCCCGTCGCTGAGACCTCGTTATAAGAACAGCTTTTTCGGCTCTTCCGCTCACTGAACTTACGATAACGAAATTATTGTTACGATATTACGATTCACGATATAGCAATAACACGATTGCGATATTATTGAGTCTCGCTGGCAACTTGTTATAAGAACAGCTTTTTTCGGCTCTTCCGGTCACCGAACTTACCTGGAATCCAAGCAGTGAGCAGCAGTGAGGATCCATTGGTCGTTGATCAGGGAGCCTGCACAGAACCAGTCTGGAGTCTTGGTGCTGTCCAGTTCGCCGAGGAGAGCCTGCGGGAGAAAGGAGAAAGGGTAAATTGTTGTATTTATGAACACACATACGTATATGCGCGCACATATGCATACGTTTACACACAAACAGATGTAGACACATACACATACACACAAACAGGCACACACACACACACACACACACACACACACACACACACACACACACACACACACACACACACACACACACACACACACACACACACCTACACCTACGCTCGTGTTTGAATCAGCCTTTCTTTACACTATGAACGTCAGTAAAGTCAGCTCACCATCCATGGCCAGGCGCTGATCTGGGAAGTTATGCCGCCAACCCCGCCGATACTTCGGCGACGGCTGCGGGATAGAGGAGCACCGAAGGGCAACAGCGTCCTCCTCGTGGCTTGGCGTCCGCACTCTGGAAACAAGGGGCGGAGTTTCGGAATTCGGCTCGGTCGGGGGTTGAGGAAGGGGGGTCGGGGGAGAGGGCGTGGGCATAATATGTCTAATGGAATGAGTCTAGTCTCTCTTTGTATTCATCTTTCGATCTCTCTCTCTCTCCTCTCTCTATTTCTTTCTCTCTCTCTCTCCCCTCTCTCTCTCTCTCTCTCTTTCTCTGTTTTTATCTTTCTCTCTCTCTCTCTCTCTCTCCGAGCAATAAACAGCACAAAGATATGTTTACTTGCCAAAATTAACTATCGGCGCAGCGATACCGTCGTTATTCCCTGTGCTGGAACATGAGGTGGAATCTGTTGATTGAAAAAAAAAGAAATTTCTCTTACTTCCAAGGCATTCATAACTGCTTTATAAAGGAATGAAACAGCCTCACCTGCACTCACCCTCAGTTAGCATAATTGTTCTTTGAGAATAATGATCTTTGATAATAGCGGCCTATCAAAGAACTGTTTACTGAATTACTTTTGCAGCATTGCCGGCCATTGACTCACCCAGAGGACAACAGACGATGGCGAGTCGACCAAGTGTACCGCAGTATTTTATTTCACGCCTGTGGGCAAACTAAGCTACTTCCGGACACTGAGTGATCCTCCGACACACGCCAGGACCTCCAGACAGCAGCGTGCACAGTTGTTCGAGGCCTAAAAATGTGTGTAAAGTAATGCTGTCACATTATTCGAATACACTCACAATAGCAATAGCAACAACTAGTCCCATGTACTGACTCCAAGCAATTCAGTTTGAATGGTTCTCCCTCCCTTTTTATATGTAGAATGGCATCACGATATTCATAAAGGATTTACGAGACTTTCGGAAACTAACCTTGTGCTTCAGAGAAAGTCAGCGTCGACCCAACGACGATGACAAGGAGCGAAAACAATCTGTAGCCGATCGACATCATGACTGCCGTGAGACTGGCCGTGGACTAATATCTTGTTGGATTAGTGTTTTCAGCTTTGCCGGGTTCTTGTCCCTGCATGACGTCACTATCTGGGAAACCCTCTTGCGGCAGAATGCATCGTGGAGCTTGAGGTCTTGGAGGTGTTTGGATGCGAGTGATAAGAAATTTATTGTAATCTTTCCTATTTTGTCCTCACTTTCTTTCGGTATTCAGGAGTAAATATACACACAAAAGAATCAGCGATAATAAATTATTATGTTATTTGTGGATAAATTGCCTTCTTAAACTTATTACGCTTAATGCGTGTTATTCATCTATCAGTAATGCAGCGTGTAAACAAAGCTGCTCTGATAAATACTATTTATTTGGACGGTTTACAAATCCTAGGCTAATGTTGCATTTATCATATTATTTTTACTTAGCAGTAAAACAACGTATGTCAGGACAAAGAGAGAGAGGAGCGCGAAGAAGAAATTAAAATCAAATGAAGGGAAAGTAAGTAAAAATACAAGAAAAAAAGAAAAAACGTAACGTAGAGTAGAAACAGGAGAAGAATAAGTGAGAGAAAATGCGAAATAAGGAAAGAGGAGCAAGATGAGCAGGCGGAGGGGGCGTGAGAGGTGAGTGGGCGGGCGGAAAGCTGGAAAACAGGTTACGATCGGCAAACGTCGCCTGAAGTAGGAAAACTTTCAGTTCCAAGACATGTTTTTATTGCAAGGCATTTGTGGTTGCATGGCGGTGATTCTTGATGTTTTTTTTTTTCTTTCTTTCACGTACAATAGCCGTTAGATTTTTTTCTGTTTAGTTAGAGGGATATAACAATATTTTTTTTCCAATACGCACTGTAGGTGCCAAATGTATAATTCACATTCATGTTTTGTGCATAACATGTGTGGAAACCAGTATGTCTGTTCCAGTAACTGGCCTCTGTGAATCGAAATACATTCTTTCTTACCGCGTTTCAAAAGAACTGGAACAGCTTGCAAGGTTATATATATATATATACATATACCTGTGTATGTGTATACATACATACATACATATCTATGTATACATATATATATATGTATATACATGTATATTCACATATATACATGTATATATATGTATATGTATACATTATTGTATGGATATATATGTGTATATATATACATATATATACATATATGGCCATTTATTCAACTGCAAGATCTAGGCCTCTCCCTTTTAATTATTGAGATGTCATTTGGCATTACCACCATTGCCTTATGCCACGACTTCCTATACCACACCTGCGTTTGACTTCTCAAGGCGATATGTTGTTTTCTCGACGGCCTCTTTTACAACTGCCGTGGAGAAGAATTGAACTCGGGACCACGAGGGTCGGAGTCCAGTGCTCTATCCACTGGACCATCACGGCAGTTACATATATATATACATATATATACATGTATATATATGTATATGTATACCATTAATAAGAAATTTATTGTAATCTTTCCTATTTTGTCCTCACTTTCTTTCGGTATTCAGGAGTAAATATACACACAAAAGAATCAGCGATAATAAATTATTATGTTATTTGTGGATAAATTGCCTTCTTAAACTTATTACGCTTAATGCGTGTATTCATCTATCAGTAATGCAGCGTGTAAACAAAGCTGCTCTGATAAATACTATTTATTTGGACGGTTTACAAATCCTAGGCTAATGTTGCATTTATCATATTATTTTACTTAGCAGTAAAACAACGTATGTCAGGACAAAGAGAGAGAGGAGCGCGAAGAAGAAATTAAAATCAAATGAAGGGAAAGTAAGTAAAAATACAAGAAAAAAAGAAAAAACGTAACGTAGAGTAGAAACAGGAGAAGAATAAGTGAGAGAAAATGCGAATAAGGAAAGAGGAGCAAGATGAGCAGGCGGAGGGGGCGTGAGAGGTGAGTGGGGCGGGCGGAAAGCTGGAAAACAGGTTACGATCGGCAAACGTCGCTGAAGTAGGAAAACTTTCAGTTCCAAGACATGTTTTTATTGCAAGGCATTTGTGGTTGCATGGCGGTGATTCTTGATGTTTTTTTTTTCTTTCTTTCACGTACAATAGCCGTTAGATTTTTTTCTGTTTAGTTAGAGGGATATAACAATATTTTTTTCCAATACGCACTGTAGGTGCCAAATGTATAATTCACATTCATGTTTTGTGCATAACATGTGTGGAAACCAGTATGTCTGTTCCAGTAACTGGCCTCTGTGAATCGAAATACATTCTTTCTTACCGCGTTCAAAAGAACTGGAACAGCTTGCAAGGTTATATATATATATATATATATATATATATATAATATATACACATATATATACATATATATATGTATATACATACATATATACATATAAACACACATTTTCTTACATATATATACATGTATATAAATATATATGACTACCGCGACAGCTTAGTGGTTAGAGCTGGACTCCGACCCTCGTGGTCCCGGGTTCAATTCCCCGTCGCGGCAGTCGTAAAAATGATAATTCTTCCATGGAGCTTATTATTGTATTCAGAAGATGTATCATATAAATATTTGTATTTCTCCACTGCTTGTACAGATGTTATGTTCGTTGGTTCATTGTCTGGAAGAGGCATTATTGAGCACGAAATCAGGCACACATCGCAATGTTTCCTCGTGCAACATCGCGCGCGATTGCACTCGTCAGAAGTCTGACGGAAATCTCTCTAGACACTTCAGAACTACTGTACGTATGCCATATATCCAAAGTTTTCTTTTTCATATAGTATTTGTTTTCAACGTTTCCATATTAGCCGGATCTCGTCGTCGCAAGCAGGTCGCACATGACAAATGCGACGTGCTACGCCATTTCTGATTCATATATTTTCATATGCTTATTTTTACGTGGCATGCCACGTTCCACGTGCCACTTTGGTGTGAAAGCGGCCTTACATTATCGCACAAGTACGTTACCATTGTACAAACGGTACATGTCCACCTACTCTAATTAAACCAATGTAATACATTTTATCAAAATCTAATCTTAACTTTTTCCCTTGTAATGCATCGCGAAATATCATTTTACTTAGTCGGGAATGAAAGATTGATTGATTGATTATTTAAAATTATCTGCCGCGTCAACAGCTGAGGTCATTAGCGGCGAACACCTTGTTAGGTTGAAACATTAAAATATTTAAAACGTTAAAAATTTATCAATAAATGTCATAAATAACAATAAATATTATATTAAAAACCAAAGCATAAATATTATGCTCTAAATTTATAAGAAAAAAAAAAAAAAAACTATTGCATAAACATTATGCATAATTAAATTTTATTGAAAATATTAGTTTCCCTAAGGAAACTAATAAGACCTTCTATGTCACAATCCTCCCCCAAAACATTTTTCAATGTATATGGGGGAGACAAGTTCCTTCGTCTTTGGTCTAAGAATGTTGCACATCTCTCCACCATATGCGCGACCGTCAATGGCTCTTGGCATCCCTCACAGCGTGCTTCACTCTTAGCCATCATCGGCCCATGAGTCAGTCTTGTGTGCCCAATTCTCAGCCTTGTTAATACAACTTCCACTTGTCGGTTACGATGGATGCTGGTCACCCAACTGCCAAGGTCATCTCTAATCTCTCGTAGCTTATTTCTAGAGGTATGCCTCCATTGTTCCCTCCATTCATCACGAAGACAACTTCTGATGCTGGGTTTCAAGTCAGTGTGTGGGAGAGGAAAACGAGCATCACAAGGCTGAGCGGCAGCTGCCTTGGCCTTCTGATCAGCTCGCTCATTCCCACTGATACCAACATGTGCTGGCACCCAACACAGAGTTATCTTTTTACGTGCTGACATCAGTGCAAGCCAATCTTGAACTTCCCTCACCACTGGATGTGATGAGTTTAAGCTCTTGATTGCTTGCAAGGCACTACGAGAGTCACAATATATTACAACAGAATGGTTTGTAAGATCTCTAGTCATCTTGACTGCTGCAAGGATGGCATGTAACTCTGCAGTGAAAATCGAGGCTGATCGAGAAAGACTGCGAGATGCAGTCTTCCTTCTGCTCACTGCTGCAAAGCCCACACCATTTTCAGATTTCGAACCATCTGTATATATTGCATATGATCCCTGGTACTTAGAAGTGTGTTGAAGAAATATCTCTCTGACTTCTGCTTCGGATCTCTCCCCTTTCCCAATTCCGACCAAATCAAGCTCGACTTGATTAGTCCAAGGGGGGACTTGGGAAGTTCCAACAGCCAGAACCTTTGTGAGATTTAAATTAAGATCTTCCACAAGATTCCTCATTCTCCTACCATAGGATCGGCTATCCTCAAGGGGGTTGAAAACCAATCTGGATGTAGGAGATCCCGGAATCCTTTGTAGTCTCGTGTAATAAATCAGGTTCATGTAGTCCTGGTGTAATGAAAGAGGTGGTTCTCCACTCTCAGCATACAGATTCTCAGAGCTTCATTATGAACCGAGTCCAACATCCGAAGAACAGTGGGAGTTGCAGATGAATATGCCTCACATCCATAGTCGAGTTTACTACGAATAAGTGCTCGGTAAAGTCGCAGAAGCGTTGTGCGGTCTGCACCCCAAGATAGGTGTGAAAGAACCCGCAAAATACTAAGCGCTTTTGTAGATTTCACCTTTAACTGTTTAATATGAGGCACCCATGTAAGCTTTGAGTCAAAGATTAGACCCAAGTACTTTATCTGTTGGGCAAAATGTAGTGGGTTTGCTCCTAAATAGAGGGAAGGGTGAAACTTTCCTCGTTTGTGGAAATGCATAGCCATGGTCTTGCTTGGAGAAAATTTGAAGCCATGGTATGTTGCCCATTGCACAACCTGATTTATTGCAGTCTGCATGTGTCCTTGCACATCCTGTAAGCTTCCTCCTGAGCAGTATAGTGTAAAGTCATCCACATACAGACTACATGAGACAGCACTTGGAACGACCTTTACGATGTCATTTATAGCAATGGCAAACAGGGTCACACTTAAGACACTTCCCTGTGGGACCCCTTCCAGCTGATCTTCCAGGATAGAGAAGCTGTTTCCTACCCTCACTCTAAACTTCCTGTTAGCAAGGAAGCTTTGTATGAAGGTTGGCAGTGCTCCTCTTAAACCAATGTCATACAGCTTCATGAGTATGCCATGCTTCCAAGTCGTATCATAAGCCTTTTCAAGATCAAAGAAGACTGCTAACATATGGCGTCGCTGTGTGAAGGAATTCTGTATAGCAGTTTCCATCCTCACAAGTGCATCTGTGGTCGATCTCAGTTTTCTAAACCCATATTGATATGGGGTCAACACGTTTTCTTTTTCTAGCAGCCATGTCAACCTGAAGTTTACCATTTTCTCCATCAACTTGCAGATACAGCTGGTGAGAGAAATTGGTCTATAATTCCCTGGTATGGAAGCATCCTTGCCAGGTTTCGGGACAGGAATGATTATAGCTTCTTTCCATGTGGATGGCACTGTTCCCTCCCTGTAGATCCTATTGAATAGATCCAACAGGAACGTTTGGGAGCTCTTTGGTAAGTGAGATATCATTTGGTATGGAATACCGTCACTTCCTGGGCAGTCTTATGGCAGAGCTGCAAAGCAGAGTCCATCTCCTTGCGCAAAAATGGCAAGTTGTATGGAAGTTCTGCTGCAGTGCTACTGAAGAATGACACTGGGTGTCGTTCCTGTTCAGCCCGAAGAGTGGAGAAACGGGCAGTGTAAGATGCTCCAGACGAGATCTCTGCCATGGATTTTGCCAGTTCATTTGCAACATCTGTTTTGTCTGTGAGGATTATGCCATCTATTTTCAGAGCAGGGGGTGATATGGATGTGCTCTTTCCAGCGATCTTACGCACCTTGTCCCATACCCATGCTAAGGGGGTCCCAGAGTTAATCAAGGAGACATACTGCCTCCATGATGTCCGTCTAGCCTCCTTTAGCACTCGCCTGGCCTTGGCTCGGGTCTTTTTGTACTGGATCAAGGTTACATCGCTTGGGCGTCGTTTCAACTGCCTTAATGCAGCTTTTCTTGCTCTGACAGCTTGTTGGCATTCATCAGACCACCATGGTACCGGAGGTCGACGGTACTGCCCACTACTTCTGGGAACTGATGCTTCTGCTGCAAGGTGAATCCGTGATGTGAAGTGATTAACAGCATCTTGAACACACTGGAAATCATTCACAGATCCTTGCAATACTGCAGTTGATCTAAAAAGATTCCAGTCTGCATGTTCAAGTCGCCATCTCCGCACTCCAATGGCTGGAATGCCATTCACCTCTTCCAAAAGTATTGGAAAGTGGTCACTTCCGTGTAAGTCTTCCATGACCTGCCAAGTGAAATTCAACTGGGAATCAGGTGAGCCAACTGACAAGTCAATATTGGAGAATGTCCCAGTTTGAATATGGAAATGTGTGGGTGCATCACTGTTCAGTAAAACTGCATCTACTCTTGAGAATAAAGACTCCAAGGCCCTTCCTCGAGGATTGCACAAAGTGTCTCCCCAGAGGTGATGGCGACCATTGAAGTCTCCCAAGAGTAGAAATGGATGAGGCAACTGTCCAAGTAAATCTTCCAAATCATCTATGTTGAGATTATGTGGAGGGAGGTAGATGGATGCAACAGTGTAAGGTCGTGTCAAGCCTATTCTCACGGCCTTCACCTGCAGTGTCGTCTGAAGGTGGATGGCCTGGAAGGGAATATCCTGACGTACCATCACTGCTACTCCTCCATGAGGTCCATTATCAAAGGTCCCATAATGGGCTTGAACTTGGAATCCTCTCAGGGAAATTAAACGATTTTCCCTGATCATAATCTCTTGTAGGCATACACAAACTGGATTACAAGAAGCTATCAGATGTTGCAGTTCTTCCCATTTTGCATGAATTCCCTGACAATTCCATTGGATTAGGGTATCCAGTTCTTCAGGTTGACAAGTTACTTCATTAGGTGTTTGGCAGCACCTGTGGTTAAGGTCCGCCCCACACCTTTAGGCTGTCCCTTTCCAGCATCTTGGGAAAACCTTTTGATGGTTTGTTTACCTGTGGAACTAGTTTCCACAGGCTTTCTTTGGACAGGCTCAGGATTTCTTTGCTTGGGCAAAGGACGGACCTGAGCCTTTGGTTCAGGAGCATTCTGTTTAGCAACAGAGGCCTCTGTGGATGTAGTGGCCTCTGGAGCCCTGCCTGGTGGCTCCAAAGACCCGACTCTATGGGGAGTCTTTTGAACAGGCTCAGGATTCCTCTGCCTGTGCAAAGGACGTGCCTGAGCCTTTGCTTCAGGGGCATTCTTCCTAGCAGTAGAGGCCCCTGTGGATGTGGTGGCAGCTGGAGCTGTCACCGTTGAGGTCTCTGGAGCCTTAACTGATGGCTCCAAAGACCTTACTTTGGGAGGAGGAGTCTCCTCAATAGACCCATCACTCCTACTTCGTTTCTGGTGGACCAACTCACCAGAATCAGTTTCAGCATTTGAGGACTGATGTTTTACGGTAGTGGCAGAGTGTGTGGTATTAGAAGTATTGGAGGGAAAGGGATGGCGGGAAGGAGGATAGGCTAGAACTGAAGCAAAGGACTTACCCGGCTGTGCAAATAGCACACGGGCACGTCGCTTTGCTTCTGCAAAACTAACTTTCTCCTTGTTCCTTATTACCAATACTTCTTTTTCAAATCTGTACCTTTTACATTGCTTAGAAGAAGCTTCATGATCTTCTTTGCAGTGATAACAGCATATTGGACCTGGACAGTTGTCATCTCCTTGATGACCTGTTGTACCACACCTCACACACACTCTTGGTTGTCCATTTTCCTTAAAACGGCAATTGTTGGCTCCATGCCCATAACCCTGGCAGTGGAAACACCGCATAGGGTTTGGTATATATGGCTTGACCTTGAGGTGGTACCATGCCAACTTAACCGATTCAGGAAGGACTAATGTTTCAAAAGTTAGAAGAAGAGCTGGTGTCGACTGTTCCAAACCATCAACTTTCTTCTTAAAACGTTTTACTGCTACTACATTAAAATTCTTCAGTTCTTCTAACAGTTTCTCCTCAGAATACCTCATCAGGTCTCGGGAAAAGACAATTCCCTTACACTGATTGAGGGTTTTGTGAGGAGAACATGAGACTTGAGCCTCAGGAATGTTGCATATTGTACGCAGACGGTCACTCTCATCTGGTGATGATACCTCAACTATCAGGCTGCCATCTCGCTGTGGGGTGATGCGAGGATCACGTTGGCACACCTCAACTATCTTCTGATGTACTTCAAAAATATCAAGATCCATGATAGATACACCATCGATGGTCTTCACCACTAAGTATTTACTATACGATACCCTTTCGTATTTACCAGGTAAGATTTCCTTAATGGATTGAGGAGGACTTTTCTCCTTCTTACCTGGTTTGGGTGCTCGGGAACCATTACGATTCCCATTTTTGCCCTTTGGAATCTGATAAGGTTCCAGAGTGACAATATGTGATGTTCCAGAGGGATTGGCCAGGGGATTGCGAATGGCGTTAGGGAGAGAGCAAGTTCTTTTTAAATTTGTAGTAATCATACAAATTAGAAATCTTCATTTCCTCACCCCCCCACCCACCATGGAGTCCAACGAGGGGAAGCTATAGTTGAGGCTCAAATTTTCCCAACAGCCACAGGGGTAGTGAGGAAATATACGCAGTCACCATTACAGTGCTGATGGTAGTCGCGGGACCTATGCGCTACCGACTGAATAGTGCCTGCTTGACCCTAGCCATATTGACCAGCCGATTGACTTGACCGGGCCTTGGTCAAGCCACCCGTCTGACCAGAATAGAGGACCAAAGAGGCGTGTTGCTAGCTGCAGGGCGCAGCGTGCAGCATCGCTCAACCTCCAGGACTCCTGTCTCCTGGTAATACGGGACGCCACGCACGGCAGACACACGTGGGAGAGTTCTCCCTGGTCCAAGATGGAATGAACCAGGGGTGGGTGCACCATCCCCTCTCATAGGCCTTGGTGCACCAGGAAGCCATTTTGTCTCATCCCTCACTGGTAACCCCTCCAGTATGGGTAGCCCTCTGGTCCGGCTCACCAGATCATTGGGATCTCTAGCCCCCCCACCGCGGCAAGGCGGCTTCCGTTAGGGGGGGGGAATGAAAGAAGTAATAAATGTGCTAAAACATAGTTTTAATCATTTTATTCTAAAACTTACATTCAAACAAATCAAAAAACAAAACACATATCGTCGTGCAAGTCCTCTTCACTTCAAAAGCCATGGACCCGTGCCAGATCAGAATGCCACTTGCTTAATCCACGCGAGGTACTGCGACTGCCTCACGTTGGTGTACAGTCCCGGATATTCCTCTCTGCCGCAGCCTTCGCCCGACGAGATGATCCCTGCCAGCGTGAACCGCCCTCGGCCGTCGGAGTACACCGCGGGGCCGCCGGAGTCACCCTGGGGGAGAGATGCAGATTATCTCTCTCTTTCTATATATATTATATATAAAAATAAATAAATATATGTATGTATGTATATGTATACCATTAATAAGAAATTTATTGTTTAGTATTTATCCACTAGTTAAATAATACACCCTACATTGCATGCATCCTTGCCTCCGTCCCCTGCGCAAATGAATCCTGCTCCTATCCCCTGCGGCCACAGGCGATCGTAGAAAGTATGTTTCTTATAGTCCTGGTCACACTTTGCGCTCGGGAACACTGTCACGCCTACCTCTTGCAACACGGGGCTATGTCTTCCACCTGTCAGTAATGTTGTCAAACAACAAACAAGCTTATTACCAAATTTATTATAAATTCGCTAAGCAACTCTCTGTACTCAACTCTAACTTAATCAGACTTTAGAATTGAACGTAAACATAGATGTACATTTGAATATAAATTCGTTGGGGAATTTCGTCCCGTCAAATTTAACCCGGTGAAGCGCTAAACAATTTATTATAAATTCGCTAAGCAACTCTGGTTACTCAACTTTAACTTAATCAAAATTTCTAATCTAACGTAGACATAGATGTACATTCCAAATTTAAATGTGAATTCGTTGGTAAATTTCGTGCAGTCAAACCTAACTCAGTGAAGCGCTAAACGTGGATGTACATTTGAAATTTAGATCAAAATTTGTAGAGGAATCTCGCACAATCAAATTCAACTTGATCAAACTTTATCATTCAACGTGAACATGGATGTACATTAAATTTACATCTAAATTGCTCGGCAAATTTATGTAATCAACTTGATTTATTGCTTAGTCAATCGAACCAAAAAATGTTCATTCCATTTCTACCTGGTTGCGTGAGTCCCCATCCAGTCACGGTTACTGTTTTGCCAATAAGGTCCACGTTGCTCCCTGCGCCCCATGGAAGACACACAGGCCGGATGTAAGGCTGTGGAAGTGTTATTAAAAATATGATTGCTATAAAAACTGTTGACTTTCCAATGAAAACAACTGTGGCTCTCGGAAAAGCGATTGTTATGAAATGCTGCTTTCACTATTGTGTAAAGCTTCGATCGTCATCAACTTGTGCTTGTAATCAAGAGCTCAACTCAAGTTGTGATTCTTAGCAAAACTTGGCCGACTAATAGTTGGATAAACTCTAAAGCATACGTTACATCATCCTACCTGTATCGTCACTCTCCTGTTAAGTCTGATAAGACCGATGTCATGATGAAGTTCAGGTTCGCTGTACTGTGGGTAGGGGATGGTTGCAGCAAAACCGAAATCCTCGGGGTTGGCGCCGTCGTTCGGGGTGGAATAGTCGTGTTCTCCAAGGCGTATTACATTAGCTCGCCTTAAATTTTAAGGTTAAGAAACATAACTGTAAATTACTTCATTACTTTCAACGGATTCATGCTATTTTCTTTTGTATAAAAAAATATATATATATTATCAATGGTAAAAGCTGTGTTAATACAGTGGCAATAAACCTACAAATGCACACAGCCTGTAATCATCAACTTGTCTCACCGTGCGAGGCAGTGGGCGGCCGTCAGGAGCCATTGTTCGTTGATGAGTATTCCTGCGCAGAACCAATCAATCACTCCCGCCGCGTCCCTGTCGCCCAGAAGAGCCTGCGGATGGCCGTTATTTTAGGAATGTACACTTAATAAATAGAATACAAACGCTAAACGAATAACCTCACCATAACTATAAACGAAAGATGTATAGCTTCGCTTTTTATCTTTCTCAAGGTCCATTATAACAAAAAGGGCATGTTTTTTTCTAGAGTAAATTCCATCTTTCCTCACCATCCAAGGCCAAGCACCAACTTCTGCCTCTTTCCCGCCAAGAACAAACGCAGCAAAGTTAAATTCTGCTTCGGAAAGCCGTTCGCTGGGACGTAGCTGGCGCCGAGACCGAAGCACCGTCCCCTTTGTCTGGATCCCGCAATCTGAAATACCATTCAATCCTGCTGTAATCTCACGGAATCCTACACTCACAACACCCACACCATAGAAAAGTTTAAAATGGGACATCTCTCTCATATATTCCCAAACGCATTGCTCCATTTTCGATTTCTTACCGAAGTTAACTGCTGGTGGAGATATGTCCTGCGCAGGGCCTGGTCCTCCACCTGTGTGAGGAAACATAACCTTGCTTTACATTATTTTCTCACATTACATGTAAGAAAATTATGATTATGATTGCGATGCTAATAACAAGCTTATAATTCATTACGTTAATCATATCTATAATGGTAAGGATGACAAATGACAATTATAATAATAAAGATAATGATCATGCTGTTAATCACTGCAATATTCTTGACCAAAACGATAATGACAGTAGAAAACAACGTAATAATTATTAAAGGGATAAATAATATAATGTTAAATAATATAAATAGTGACAATGGTGGTGGTAATAAGGATAATTCGGACGATAACAGTGATAAGTGTAACTAAAAATGTATATTAATAAGGAATCGAGTTTGTTTCAAGATGACGGATGCAATGTATGAAAAGTCTTCCACATCTAGACACATTTTACTGCCATTTACAAATACACAGTGGACTTCTTCCTGGAATATGTTTTAACCTCAAGTTTGTTATATATCTAGTATCAACGTGAGAAAAAAAATAGAATATGACTATGAAATATGATAAACACAAAAACGCTATTTACTAATTTGACCCAGTCACCTCACCTGTCGGGCAGCAGACGATCGTCACGCGACCCTGCAAACTGCAGATCACCGGCCGCTCTCGGTGTGTGTTCCGCAACACAGCTGGGCATAACCTCAGGTCTCGACACTCGCCGCCGCCGCCGTTCGCGAGTCTGCATGCGCCATTCGCTCCTGCGCAAGATGTGGCTATGCCGTTAATCGAGCCATGGCCAAGTGTCAAACATTATCAAGGTTTATTTCGTTAGCTTAACTCCTTGCTTTTGAGTACATTGTTTTGTTGTTATTGTTCTTTCAATAACCAGTTTTATCCTGTTTTTTTCTTTGTTTTTTTTTTTATTTTCCATAGCTTTTGCCATTACCCCTTTTAAGAGCAATTATAGATTTTTTCAACAGCCATTCATTCCACTGCAAGGCAAAGGCCTCTCTCAATTCAGTATTGAGAGGTTATATGGCAGTTGCCTGACTGAATGCCCTTCCTAATCAACCGCGCAACGGCGTGTTAACACTTGTGCCATGGCGGTGACTTCCCCTACGACACCTGTGTTTGACTTCTCAAGCCGATATGCCGTTTTCTCGGGCTCGAGGTAGCAGTCAGAGCGCAGGCATTTTTACGACCACCGCGACGGGGAATTGAACCCGGGACCACGAGGGTCGGAGTCCAGTGCTCTAACTGAGCTATCGCGGCAGTCAATTATAGATATATGTGTGTATATGTTACAGGCAATATGTGAAACTAGTCATGACATGAAATGACTAAAATATTCAGGCATTGACTCAAATACCCAGTCATTCCGTGTAACGGCTGAAAATATGCACCCTGATTACACCCATTACCTAAGTTTCCATTTGTTCATCCATGCAATCAGTGTAGAAGCCTATATAGCCATGTCATCTGTACAGTCAGGTAACAAATAAGCTGGAAGAGGGGAGACTGAGTGCCATTCCAGGGCGGCATGTTGGCTTCTTATTGCCCTGGTGTCAATGAAGAACAGATGGTCAGTGTCCGTAAGGAGAGATCTATCGGCTTCCTACTGAACGGTAGAGACTATGACTACACACCAGGGTACTGGGTGCCCCAATCAACTGATACTGCATGGCTTCTCTTGGCGAATGTCCTCCAGTGTGCTATTGGATGACTATAGCAAGGGATGGTGGGGAGGGAAGGGGTGGGGGGCTGCCACCCTACTCTAGTCGAATTGACCTTGCAGCTGGCGAACCACTTGATAATGCTGCTGTCCCTATTCCACTGGTAGATAGGGGTCGAGGTGATCCTCGGAACATTCTCGGTGTCGTCTTGGACCGTGACCAAAATGACATGTACACCATTGGAGTCAAAGCAGGAGTTCTGAAAGCCAAGCTGTCACGCAACCAGTTTGACTTATGCCCTCAGCACCTTCTGGGAGAGAACTCAGGATGGTATCTCTGTGAGAAGCCGTTACCTTTGAATCAAACTGTGGTAGACAGGGTTTTGTCAAATGCAACTGCGCAGGACCCAAAAAGTGTCGAACAAACAGATGCAAGTGCTTTAAAAACAAAGTTAAATGTAACAGTAGGTGCCACGCCAGCATGACTTGTGCTAATAAAGTCTAAGCTTGGATCTCTTTGAAAATGCAGGGATATATAACTGAAAATTGTGTGAACAGTATTCACATGTCACCATCATATGCACAAATGAAGGACAACTTGTATGGTACCTAATTGTATTTCATGACCTTAAGGAATGTGTGAACAGTAGTTTCAATTGCACCATGACTTGCACAAACAAATTACAAAGTGTGAATACTTGCACATGCGTGTATTAACGTTTTTATGAGTTGAAATAAAGTGTGAATAGTAGTTGATATCTTTGTCTTATTAGTTTAGTCATTTCATGAAATAACTGGTCCCATTTTTTAGTCTTTACACGGAATGACTGGTTATTTGAGTCATTACGTGAAATGACTGGTGGTCACAGCCATTACACGTAATGCCTAACAATGTTAGTCATTACATATAATGACTGGTTTCATATATTGCCTATAACATATATATACATATGCGCACGCGCGCGCGTTTTATTTTTATCATGACTTTTCAGAGCTTTTCATTTCACCATTTCTACAAATAGTCATATAAAGGGCAAACTGCAAATAGAAGAACAGGAATACAGGGATATTCGCCTGTTTTTTTCTGTTCTCTTCGTTCTCTTTATTGTGAATAATCATTTCAAAAATCAAAAAATATTTCTTCTGGATTTTTTCAAATGACTTTAGAAGGTGCTTCACTTCGCCCTTGACTGACCTTGCGCTGAGGTGTAGCTCACACTTGAACCCACGAGGACCAGGAGGCACGCGAGCACCTGTGTTGGCTGCATGATGATGTCTCGAACACTCCCTCTGCCCTTCCTGTCGCTCCTTATATATGCCGCAGGAACCGCTGCGTTTCTCCATGTGACGTTCAACCTTTATGAGGCTTTATTTTCATGCATTAAATACAAAATATATTTTCTTCTTTCTCTTTTTTTATTTATGTATTCATTTATTTATTTATTTGTACCTTGTTGGCATTTTCAATACGAACTTGCAGATTATGTTTGAAACAAAATGAAAACTAGTCGGCCCTGAATGTCAACCGCTTCTGCCTTCTCGGAAAAAGCTTACAGCTCATTTATGAGCATTGCTGTCTATACACACACAAAAATGCGCCCGTGCGCGTGTGTGTGTGCACGCACGCGCGCATATAGATAGAGAGAAGCGAAAAGAAGATACAAACAGATAGGCAGGAATGGAAACAGAGTAAAAGAGAAGGGAGAGGATTAGGGGGAGAGACGCACACGATGCCACACAGATATACAGATATAGCTATAGCTAGATAGATAAGAAGATAATTATATGTGTGTGTGTAGACAGAGAAAAAGAGAGAGAGAGAGACGAAGACAGAGATACTGACAAGTAAGCAGACATAGAGGAAGAGGAACAAGGGGGAGCGAAAAAGACACAAAAAAGAGCTATACACTACAAATAGACAAGCAAAAAACAGACATACAGACAGACTGGCAGGTAGACAGAAAGAAACAAGAGCTGGGAAAGATAATACAGAGAAATACTAATAAACAGACTGTCAAAGAGACAAACGGGCAAAAAGACAGATAGTTCAGACAGATTCAAAGGATTAAAGAGGGAGAGAGAATAGAGAATGTGTCTTAGAGAGAGAGGGTGGGAATAGATAGAGACAAGGAGAGAGAAACAGAACGGCAAACATGCACACAAACAGAAAGGGAATAGAAAAGAATGAGAAACAGACAAACAAATATGTAAATGGATTCTCAGACGGGTAAATGTACAGCATGTTAGGGTGAAGAAGAGAAACAGATTGACAGACAGGAGGAAAGAGAGAGAGAGAGAGGAAGGGGGGGGGGGGCGAGAGACAGACAGAGATAAAGGGAGGCAAACAGATACAGCAAGTGAAATAATCCCAAACTGAAAAAGAGTAAAAGGAAAGAAATAAATTGATGTCAGACACAAAAATAGAAGAGTTTGTGGTAAACCGGTAGATACAACCCTCTAGGAAACATTTTCTGCCTCACCTGGATCTGGGAGGATGTCATTATCCTGATCGTTACGTAATTCATAATCACTGCAGGATTACGTGCAAGACTATGCGCATGATTTCATAATGATTACAGTAATACTTTATGTTTGCAAACGCTTGATATAAAGTTGTATATTAACGTCGTCTTGTTTTGTCTTTTTTTCTTTTCTTTTTTTATTAATGACTGCATTTCCGTTCATGCAGAATATTTCATTTCTTTAAAGCAAGTGTTACGGTTCAATATTTGTCTGCAAGTGACTCACAATCCATAATCAATTCAGTGTTCTTGACCAGCAAACTGCGATTGAATTTACATGGTGCAACAAAATTATTTAAACATTATGACATTCACGTGCAACAGTCATTACACTTTTCACGTAACTAGTTTCCGGTCTTTCACAGTGGTGTAAATTCTAATGATCACCTCACAGTATTTCCACTTTGGTAGACTTTCCTCATGTTAAGAAATTTCTGGCCAAGGAAAGCACTGTAATTATCGTTGTGTTTTTTTTTTTTTTAGAATTTCTCAATTATTTTGGTATTCTAATGAAAATCAGACTGGGTTTCATGCAAAAGCACACACGTGTGTGTGTGTGTGTGTGTGTATATATATATATATATATACACACACACACATATGTGTATGTATGAATATATATATATACATATATATATATGCATATATATATATATACATATATATATATATATATATATATATATATATATATATATATATATATATATATGTTATATATATATATATATATATATTTATATATATATATATATATATATATATATATATATATATATATACACACATATGTGTGTATGTATGAATATATATATATATAGAGAGAGAGAGAGAGACAGACAGACAGACAGAGAGAATTTCCATATTGCAAATCAGTCTATAAAAGTATAAGAGAAAATTATTATTATCATCATTATTATTACTATTATTATCATTATTATTATTATCATTGTGAAAATCCTCATTATCATTATCATTATTATTATGATTATTATTATTATTGTTATCATAATTTTATTAATAATATATTTTTTATTATTACTATTATTATCATTACCTAAAATATCGTCCCGAAATATTGAAAACGAATAGGAAACGGGGAGGGATTTTTACCTTCATTAAAACATGAACGTGAGGTAATGGTATTTCTCTATTCTTCCGGTTGAATCACACGTTCTTTCTATACAGAACACCTATTCTTTCTGTTACACTTTCCTATTCGTTTTCGTGTGTTCTTGTGGCAGTGGTCGGAATCACATAGAGCGATTTGAATTATCTAAATTTAAATATTTCGCGACGATATTATAGGTAATAATAATAATAGTAATAATAAAAAGATATTATTAATAAAATTATAATAAGAATAATAACAATGATAATGATAATAATAGTAATGATAATAAGGATAATAATAATAATGGTAATTGCAGAAGTAACAATTATAATGATAATAATGATAATAATCATTAATTATAATAGATAATATTAATAATAACTAGGCAAAACACTCAGTGGTTAGCCATTGCCTTGAGGGTACACTGTGAGAGAGTACCATTCTTAAAAGCTCTTCCACTAGAAATATAACTACCATTGGCCTTCGGGGTTGTAGCTCATTCACCTTCCCCATTGACTAGGTATCAATGGCTCCGCTGTTAGCTGTCGCCCTTAACCCAATGGTGCCGGGGAAAATGAACTAAAAATGGGGAAAATATTGTACCCACTTTCTATGTTTTTCGTGAAATGTCTGCCGATAGATGGCTCTGCTAGCGCCTGATTTAAATGGCGGGAAAAACGTGTTTTTCACTAGTGCTATGAAAATCGATGGTGTTATTTTTATCATAAACATTATAATTTTTATTTATTTTTTTTTTAACATTAGTAACAGCAAAATAAGATTACGTAAAATATTTTGTAAATCAAAGAAACGGGTAAATGGGCGAGACGGGCGGTGCTCGTAACTGCCTCATTGGGGAGTTAGTACAAGTGTTGCCATCTATGCGTGAAAACAATCAAACAAGTACTCACTGTGGGCATAGCACATACGTACACGTCATACCCGGCACCAAGGGGTTAAACCCTAAATTACCCAAGGGCCCGTTCGATTTTATGGCGCCCACCACACTCGCCAGTCACAGCATGATTCTTAACGATCATATGAGGGCATTTTATAGAAGGTAGGTGGGACTGCCTAACCCCATGCATGATCATCACACGCTGCCTGGATCCAGTTTCGCATCATACCCAGGACAACGTTGAAGATCATCGCTAAGAAATCATCTAAGGGTTAAATGATAACGCATAATATCGCAAGCAGTAGACCTCAGATCTCAGATTCTTAACTTTGCTGCAAAATAAGCATTGCTGTGTTCTATATTATCTTTCAGTTTATTTTTTGTCACAGAAAAAGGGACAAAAGCCTTTTGTGCGAAATTTGCCTCTCTATCTGAATCATTGCACCAATCCTTTGGGTATAGAGGGCGGAAAATGCTAGATTTTGCATTGAAAATAATAAATCTACCTTCTCTGGAAAATTGGTACCTTTTGTCAGACATCTTTAAAAACGGCAAGCATTTAGATCACTTAGTAGTGTAATAACTATTGTAATGACAACAGCAGTAAATCTTTAAATTCAAGAACATTTACGTCAACACATCCGCAAATACATTGAATCGAGAAAGTATATCTTTAAAGTTCAAATCTCATAGTTATACGTAACTATCGTAATCCTTTTTATAAAGTCTGTATTGTATGCCTTCATACAGATTTTTTTTTTTTTTTAATACGATATCTGACAACCATATTTTTACTAACTTAATGAACTCCTTAACTCATTGTGAACAAGTTATTAATGACATGATTGTGCAGGTTGATTCTCCCATTCTTTTTAGTAAGGTAGTAAAAAATGAAAATGGAATGTTTATTCTAAAATTTAAAATCTCTTTATTCCCAATTTTATTTCTTCCTCTATATACAGAGAAATACAACGAAATAACTGGATGAAACTGTGCATGGTATAACATATTCATAGGTAATACTTCAGGTATATTGTTATTTGTTTCATCATATTCGAGTTTTTGGTTTCTTATATATAATACATTAAAATAAGTGTTAAATACATACATAATACAAGGTTAGATAGATAGATAGACAGATAGATAGGTAGAGCTATATATATGTATCTAGAGGTGTGTGCGTATGTGTTTGTGTGTACGTATGTGTTTTTATGTGTAAACAAACACCCACACATCGTAATGCAATCGTCTCATCTCAGAAAGCAATTTTCCTGATCCACGCGAGGTAATCTGCATGGTGAGTGCTGGCGTAAAGGCCTGGGAAATCCCCGTTTCCGCAGCCGTAGCCATTGGAGATAACGCCGGCGATAGTGTAGATGTTGAGGTCATTCGAGTAGACAGCCGGGCCGCCAGAATCACCCTGCAAAGGAGGAGGATCAAGTGGAGAAGAGAAATGAGACAGAATGTAGTTATTCACGCTGGAGTCCATAAAAATATCCAGTACCTCGTGTCTATGAAGTATGTACATCCATCTATTTATTTCCTTGTCTCCTTTCCTATACCAGATCACTGAACCTCCCTTTTACCTGAAGAAACAGTGAACTTACTTGACAGGCGTCCTTCCCGCCGTCTACTTCCCCCGCACACAGGGTTTCTTCCCCGATCCCCTGCGGCCAAATCCTATCATAGTTGACCAGTTCCTTGTATTGACTGGCACACGTGGACGAAGGGAAGACTGTCACCTGCA